TATTTTTTGCCTGCTATACATTTCCACGTGATAAGCCACTTCGTTGAGCTATTATATTTATTTGTGGCCAGATCGCTTCTGAAAAAGAGCTATGTGGCTCAAAATATATATATAGTTTAGTTTTCAATGCACATGACAGCTGTCAGACTCAATTGCTCATTATTTACGTTTTAGTTCTTGAAGAATGCTCCTAGCACGTGGAGCCAAACGTCGGACATCGTGCCGAACAACAACAACAACAACAACGCGACACACAAACGGAAAACACATCGGACTCTGCGCGCATCCAATAACTTTTGAACAAACAAAAAAAAGGGAATTGATCGAATGTCGTCTAAGCGGCACCGTCCTGAGACTGGGCAACATTTTCCCACGGGCGAATGGCTAAAACAGCAGCTGAGTGACAACGACAGGCCAGCCGTGCGTGATTCAGCCTACCCCGCTGCGACTTGGTGACATCGCATACAAGCGTCCGAGTGAGTGAGCCACTCGTTCGTGCTCGAGTGGGGCAGTGTTAGCGTCACTATGACCAGGCTAAGAATAAACATTATTATGGGGAGGGGGAGGGTGTTGTAGTTTTTTTGGTGGTGGGGTGGGCGCTATTGAAGCCATTCCCCTTGAAAGTTTTAACAAAAACTCCGTGCCTGGCGATCCAAAACGCTCGACCGTTATTCACCCTCGGTTATTTTAGCTCTAGATTCTAAATGCGAAATACTGTGGGCATTGTGAAGGTATCAAGGTCGTAGCCATCGAGTCAACATTGGGGGGGGGACCAAATCTTCCAGGGGGTCTGGGGGTCCCCCTACAGAACAAAAATCTAATTTGAAAACTAATTTACTGCATAAAATAAAAAAATCACTAACACAGGATGGACTTTTTATTTAATTTTTTACAATAATGTCTAATAGTGTATTGTATTACATTGCTCTGTTTTTTCTTTTTTACCTTTTCTTGTTTCATTGTATGTAATGGCAGAGGATAGGGATTCATTAATTACAACCATAACCACAATCGTATAAACAGAAATTTATTTTATAGCAATATATTGGTGGGGGGGAGATATTTTGAGCATATTTGAATATTGGGGGGGATGTGTGTCCCCCAATATGCCCCCCCCTCCCCAATATATATTATAATATCGGCCTTGGAAGGTATATCAACGTTAAAATGAACGAAACTATTTAGATTGCGTCCTGTGACTGGTAGACATATACAGAGCGATGTCGCTCGGGCTGGAATGTACAAATTATATGTACTGTATGATTAATCGGTGCTGCAGTATCGTGTTTGAACCAAACAGTATCTTCATAGGACAACCACTCTTGACTTCCTTATAAAGCAGTACTAATTTTAATCGACCCCGGAGAAATGATTGGCTGAGTCAACCCCTAACCAGGATCTGAACTCGCAACCTTCAGATTGCGAATTGGAATGGAAATAGAGGAAAAACGACTGGGCGCTGAGTGGAGGGGCAGTGTTGGTGTCGCTGCATGGACTGGACTAGAGGGGACAGGGCGCATGAACCACGAAACAGGCCACATGAACCACGGGACAGGGCGCATGAACCAGGAAACAGGCCGCATGAACCACGGGACAGACCACATGAACCACAAAACAGGCCACATGAACCACGAAACAGGCCACATGAACCACGGGACAGGCCACATGAACCACGGGACAGACCACATGAACCACGAAACAGGCCACATGAACCACGAAACAGGCCGCATGAACCACGAAACACAGATGAACCACGGGACAGGCTGCATGAACCACGAAACAGGCCACGTGAACCACGGGACAGGCCACATGAACCACGGGACAGGCCACATGAACCACGGGACAGACCACATGAACCACGAAACAGGCCACATGAACCACGAAACAGGCCACATGAACCACGAAACAGGCCACGTGAACCACGAAACAGGCCACATGAACCACGGGACAGGCCACATGAACCACGGGACAGACCACATGAACCACGAAACAGGCCACATGAACCACGAAACAGGCCACATGAACCACGAAACAGGCCACGTGAACCACGGGATAGGCCACATGAACCACGAAACAGGCCACATGAACCACGAAACAGGCCACATGAACCACGAAACAGGCCACATGAACCACGGGATAGGGTGCATGAACCACAGGGCAGGCCACATGAACCACGGGACAGGCCACATGAACCACGAAACAGGCCACGTGAACCACGAAACAGACCACTTGAATCACGAAACAGGCCACATGAACCACGGGATAGGGTGCATGAACCACAGGACAGGCCACATGAACCACAGGACAGGGCACGTGAACCACGAAACAGACCACATGAACCACGGGACAGGCCGCATGAACCACGAAACAGGCCACATGAATCACGGGACAGGGCACGTGAACCACGGGGCAAGAGTGGACACCGAGCCTTGCCAAAACATGACTGCGAAACGCGTTCTTATCCTGTGAAAAAGAGCTTCACATCTCATCGGATTCCTCCAGTAAAATACATATTCTGATTATGAAACTGAACCCCTATTTGAAAAGCTTCCTATCCTTACATCCTCTTTGTTCAATAGCTCCCCACCTCGACAGCACTGCAGCCCCGACTCAGCTTGCCAACATCGACGTAATCTCATGGACGCGCAGCTGATGTGGCTGTCCCTTGCCTTCTTTACCGGCGTTTCTAAGGTGGCACCATCATCTCAATACATCATATGCTTATTCAACTAATCTACGCCTCGAGTTTTCTGGCTGGCTCGTAGGCTGGCTGGCTGCTGGCTGGGCACCTCTCCACCAGGGTTGCGATTTCCGCATGGAAAATGCGGAAGGAGGGTTCAAATTTTCCCGCATTTTTGCTAAAGTCAACCGCAAACGGTGGAAAGACTACTCCTATGACCGCGCGCTTTTAACAACACGTTAATGCGTTCTATTGGAAAGGATACATCATGTACATGTGCTCGTAATCACGGCTCCGCTTTTGAATAAAGTATGTGGTTCTTGTGCGGAAATGCGGAAATCATATATTCATTCCAATCAGTAACTCAAAGCCCTACGTGATGCTGGGCCTTGCATGTATCCTTTCCAATAGAACGCATTAACGTGTTGTTAAAAGCGCGCGGTCATAGGAGTAGTCTTTCCACCGTTTGCGGTTGACTTTAGCAAAAATGCGGGAAAATTTGAACCCTCCTTCCGCATTTTCCATGCGGAAATCGCAACCCTGCTCTCCACCCCAACACAAACTCTTGTTGTCGGTGGCTGCGGGAAGTTGCCACCGATACTAACTGGGTAACTGGCTACACGGGATTTTCCGTGTAACAAATACACTTGGAGTTGAATTGAAACGGCGGAAGCAGCTTTTCGGGAGACTTTAAATCGTAACAATAATTACACCAATGGATATAGCGACACACAAGAGGTGTGAGTAACAAATACAAAAGACGGTTCATTTAAAATCGCTCCAGAACTAATTTTCAGAGGGGGGGGGGGCACTTTCGCCGATAAGAGTGGCCACCACACATTTGAAACCATAAGAAGTTTGTGACAGCACAATGATGATGGGGGGGGGGGGGTCTCACATTTGTCGTCGGGGGCCGCACTAAAGGTCGACCAGGGTCCACCAACAGCCCGCGGGCCTTGTAATGAAGAACGCTCGCTCTAAATGTTCAACTCGTGCTCATATTATTAATGCACAGGAAGACTGTGAAAGGAGCATGCTCATGACAGCTGCCACTTATTTTCCGTTACAGTGCAACACCGGGGGGGGGGGGGGGCTCCACTCGGCATATATAATGTATTCTACAACTTCCCCACTTGCAAATTAATTCCTTTCTACGAATTTCTTATTTTTTTGTATAAAACAACCCACCCGTTTTCTCGTCTCAATGAGAAGAAGCAACTGACAACACAGTCTCACCGCACGTGCAGTCCCGCGATCCATTCAACAGCATCGGCAGAAGTCTGATATAACGCATGGGTATACATTCCCACGATATGGAAACGGATACATTTGAAATTGTTGCCCGAACGAGACACATTTTGTCGCTTGCAAATTATATAATTATATTTTAGAATAAACGCCCTTAGCGGGGGAGGAAATATTAAGGTGAGAGTGGATATATGGTGGGTGCGTAGGTGGAAAGTATCGGGGGTGGGGGGGGGGGGGTAATGGGTTGGAGATAAAAATAAAACCGGTGATAAATCTCAATTATCGCTTTTATCTCGCGTCTTCGGCGGCGGCGGCGGACGACGGCGGCGGGAAGATGCAAAAGGCGGAGGGAATCTCGCAGCCGCATCGTCTCGTACGCAGCAGCGCCGGCTTTGATAGACGGCGAGAGAGGGGCCAGAGAGAGAGAGAGGAGATCTGGCTCCGCAGTCGTCTGCGAGCAGCAACCGACGACGGGGTTTTTTTCGGCCAAATCATTACTATTCACGGCGCACCTTGAGCAACGCGCTCCCACCAGCCCCCCCCCCCCACCGTATCATCGTGGTTGGTGCGGCGGTGACGCACACGGCACGCTGCCAGCCCCAACGGGGAGCGGCCCAACCAACCCGGTCTCACCCCTCCCCTACCCCACCCAGCCACGCACCCCCACCACCACCACCATCAGCCCCCCCTCCCCTTCCCTACCGCTGCCCTGCCTTCCCGACGTCCCTCTCAGCTGCCTTGGCCGCCTCGGGTTTGTAAACAAAATCCATTCAGCAGCAGCAGCGGCGGCGGCGGTGCTGGTGGTGGTGGCGGTGCAAGCGAGCTTCGTCTCGTCTGTGAGAGCGAGAGGGAGAGTGGAGCAGCCTGAATGGATCTGGGCGTTCCTTTATCAATAAAACAAAACAACAAGGCCTTGTTTTGATTTGTATGGGTGGGTTATTCATTTTTTTTCGTGCAATTCTTTTTGGAGGAAGCGGCGTGCGGGCGGGCGGGCGGGCGGGCGGGCGGGCGGGCGGGCGGGTGGGGGGGCCCGTTTTATTTTCGGAATGTGACGGCGGATATCCCCCCCCCCCCGACCCCAACACACGAAGACGGGAGAAATTCAGGATGTCCGAGGCGGTCTAGCGGTTAGCAGTGTTTACTGTATTTTCATCCGACGGATGGGCCTTCCTCATCGATGTGATCGTGCTCGGAGCCTGGGATAACCTTGGAACAACACCATGTCAGAATACGACTACCCCAACACATCTTCTTCGGTAAAAAAAAAACGAATAAGCTCTCTCTCTCTTTCTACACGCTGTGCATTCTACGTTTTTTTCTTCTTCTTCTTCCCATTCGTTTTATTAATTCATGTGCATGTTCGTGTTGGTGCTCCACGCGTGATTAGTGTCGGGTTCTTTTAGATTTTTCCCTCTTCGCCTGTCTAGCGTTTCTGTAATGGAATGTTTGCATACCAACACCGCCGGACAAGCCGGTATCGGAGAGTCATCATCCCCGCTTATTTCACTCTCCAGAGGAAATTTGTATGCGGGAGAGGACTGCAATGGCAAAGCATACTGTACCAATACAATTGCCTCGCCGTCCCGTTATATATATTTTTAAGGTTGCAGTCTTTGCAAAAAAAAAAAACATTGTTCGCCTTGTTTCGCAACGTAATCGTGTTGCATAATAGACCGTCAATGCCGCCGTGCCGGGAGAAAACTGTTTGCATTCGCATTTATATTTGAAAAGGGGCCATGAATTGCTAAAGAGGGCCCTATGAATAGCACTCAAATGCCATCAGCGAAATGCACGCGCGGAATGCTGCTCAACAGAGACGCAATCTATATATGGAAGTCGCACTTTGAGCGTGTCTGGCGATTCTGAATTGTGATTAAGGCGCATAGCATAAATGATCAGACAATTAGTTAATTATGAATAATATTATTCTATCCATTGGCCGACTCGGGACAATGGGTATTCCTGGTTAATGAAAAAAAACACAAGCCGCATTTGCCACGTGATGTTTTCCTGCTGCGATCAGAGGCCGTATAATAACAATCGCACAGACCGGGCGTGTTCGATGCGCGTTCGACAGCACGCGTCGCGAAACGTGGCCGACCTCGATGCCGTCGTCGTGAATGTTTTGGGAGACGAGACCAATTCTTTTCACGATCCGCAAAACAAAATTCCAACACAATTTACAGGGAGGTGGGTGGGAAATCTGATTACATTTCGCTCGTCACGGTGAAGGCAGCTTGGCGCGGGATGTTTATTGGTGGCGGACTTTTGGAGAATCGCAGCAGCGTGAAAACAACAGCGTGACCATCAACCACCACCCACCACCACCCCCCCCCCGTGTCAACAAGGCGACTTGAAAACACGCGTGCCAGGGCATTCACGCAGCGAGGCGTCGCTCATTCCGCTGGTGGAGGTGGGAGACACCAGCCGGAGGAGCGAGGGAATTGGAAATCTCGTGCGGTGGAGGGGGGGGGGCAGTGAGGAGAGTGGGCGGTAGTGGAGTCGGGGTACACGGCCCGGTCTCTGTGGTACAGTCGGCACATCGCGGATTGTCTTCCTGCAGCGGCGGTGGGAAATTGTTGCACTGCGCTCGATTCGCTGCCCCTCCCCTTCCCCCCTGCCCCCCTCCCTCCCTCCCCTGCCCCCCCCCTCCCTCCCCTGCCCCCCCCCTCCACGCTAGCCCCCCCCCCCCGCGCCTCCAATGATGTTGTCGGCCGCGTCACGTGTTACGTATGCGATGCTGGGAGCTGCATTTTTATACGATGTAATCCAGCGCACACACACACGTATATTTTTTAAAAAGATAATATTTATAACTATATATTACCGGTTTTAGTAATATATATACAGTCACGGTGTATATTGTATGGTGGTATAAAACTGCATCGGCTGTTATTTGATTGGGGCTGGGCTGGCGAGGAGAGAGACTCCCAGCGTTGTGTTTTGTTAGAACGGAGCGTCTCGTCTCGTGCCGCCGCGTTTATTGGGGAGGGGGGCGTGGGGGGAGGGGGGGCGTGGGGGGGGGGGGGAGGGGGGGCGTGGGGGGAGGGGGGGCGTGGGGGGAGGGGGGGGGCGTGGGGGGAGGGGGGCGTGGGGGGAGGGGGGGGCGTGGGGGGAGGGGGGGCGTGGGGGGAGGGGGGGGAGGGGGGGCGTGGGGGGAGGGGGCGTGGGGGAGGGGGGCGTGGGGGGAGGGGCGTGGGGGAGGGGGAGGGGGCGTGGGGGAGGGGGGGGGCGTGGGAGGAGGGGGCGTGGGGGGAGGGGGCGTGGGGGAGGGGGGGCGTGGGGGAGAGGGGGGCGTGGGGGGAGGGGGCGTGGGGGGAGATGGGGGCGTGGGGGAGGGGGGTGTGGGGGGAGGGGGGCGTGGGGGGAGGGGGGGGGCGTGGGGGGAGGGGGGGCGTGGGGGAAGGGGGGGCGTGGGGGGAGGGGGCGTGGGGGGAGGGGGCGTTGGGGGGAGGGGGCTTGGGGGGAGGGGGGGGGGGGGCGTGGGGGTATAGGGGGAGGGGGGTATAGGGGGGGGGGGGGACTATGGGGGGGAGGGGGGAAGGGGGGGGCTATGGGGAGGGAGGTATGGGGGGACGGACCTGATTAACCTCGCACCCAAGCGAGAAATATTTCGTCTTCGTTATTGATTTCCTTATTATTCAACGTAAGCGCTCTTCCGAATGATCGCATGAATTATAAATACGAATCCGGACGAGCGAGCGGGGGGGGGGGGGGGTTTAGGTTAAATTATGTCGAATCAGCTCGAGGGAGAGAGACAGACGCACGTATTACACAAGCAGCCCCCCCCCCCACCACCTCTCATCCCCATCCAACGCTCCCCCCTTTCAAGGTCACGTCCGCCACTCAAGGTCACGCGAACGCCGAGCGCAATTGGTTGGTTGCTTCTCCCAGCAGCAGCAGCGGCGGCAGCAGCAATAGACGCGAAGGATCACCGGGGGACCCGAGCGGCACACGCTGTGTCGTCGTGTGCACGATGACAGCTCTCCTGATTGCCGGCACTACAAAAGACAAAGACCCCCCCCCCCTCCTTCCCCGCGTAGCCTTTACACGGCGTTGGGGCAAGTGCTGTTGACGAGGTGCCTAATGAAGGCCGGCACTGGCGCGCGAGGGGGTGGGTGGCCCGGCTCTATGTCCGGCTGGCTCTGCATCCCGAGTGGCGATGGTTTTCACACCGCGCCCAGCTACTCATTTGAGGCTGAGTCGACCTAGGGGAGGTCCAAGACCGGTTCAGATAATCGTCACTGTTGTTGGCCGTGGGCAGGAATCAAACTCGGGTCGCCGGGTTCTTAGCGCAGCGCGCTAACCGCTACAGAATGTCTTTCGACTGATGGTGATTAAACGGCTGAACGGTGATTGATTGATTAGTCTGGGGCCTCGGCGCATAAGATCCCCTTTATAGCCTTAAGACTGTAGGGGCAAGTGCTGTTAGTCAGCACCTATGAAGGCCGGCACGGCACACGAGGGGGTGGGTTGGTCAGCACCACACCTGACCGACTTTGTCTTCCCAGTGGCGATGTTTACACACCGCACCAGGTACTCATTTGAGGCTGAGTCGACCTAGGGGAGGCCCAGGACCGGTTAAGATAATTATCGTCACTGGTGTTGGCCGTGAGCAGGAATCGAACCCGGGTCCCTGGGGTCGTAGCGCGGTAGTGGAGCGGTTACACAAGCACAACAACCGCCATTCGCTAGCTACTAAGTGACGGTGATGTCACCACGGCGCTTGTGCCAGGCTGCGTGCACGTTGAAGCCACGTAAAGTGTCGAACGCCCGCTGGCAGGAGGTCAAGGGGCAGACCCAGGTCGACCGACTGAGATGATTGGCCGCACACACAAACAAGCAATTGTCAATCGCACGCAGAAGGAGAGAACAGGAGGGGAATCTCCACTGCCCACCCCCCTCCTCTCCCCACACGCAACATTTGGCACGAAATTAAATTTCGCTGGCTCTGTGTAACGCGAGAGAGTCACGCGGGCAGCGCTTGTCATTGCGCGCGGATACAATCGGGAACATCTCTACGATTTAGCTATCGGGGTCATTGCGTTGGCCCCGGGAGAGGTTCGGCATAATGATACAACTGCAAATTTAACGCTTTAGGGATTCGAAGCTGATTCGCTCTACGCATATTATTACTGTTGCTCGCAATATGCAGACAGCTGTGCTCGACTGCGGTGAGGGTGCGGTTGTGGGGGGGGGGGGAGCTATCCGAGTTTGAGTCCTAGTCACGGCTTACGTCAAGGTCGAGGGGGTCAGGGGGCTCGAGCTGAAGATGCCTTCGTGGCACGTGTCATCAGCAAGCGCACGGCGAGGACACCACCACCACCCACCACCACCCACCACCACCACTCACCACCACTCACCACCACCCACCACCACCCACCACTCACCACCACCACCCACTACTCACCACCACTCACCACCACCCACCACCACCCACCACCACCACTCACCACCCACCACCCACCACCACCACCCACCACCACCACTCACCACCACCACCCCCCACCCACCACCAACCACAACGGCGTCGCCCCCACATGTCCAGACTCGTTCCCGTTGCGAGCCTTGACGGCGGCGGCGCGGCTCGGCTCGGCACGGCTCGGCTTCTGCAGTGGAAAAGGGAGACGATCCAAAAAACATTCCGGCGCTTCTCCTGAGCTCGGCACGGCCCTGGCACGGTTCGGCTTTGCCCACTTGGCGAGGTGGGGGGAGGAGGAGTGTGTGGGGGGGCAGTGGAGATTCTCCTCCGGTTTTCTCCTTCTACGTGCGATTGACAATTGCTTATGATGCTTTCAAGTGAAGCCACGAGTGTCGCACAAAAAAAGTAAACAACGCATGCTGTGTTTGACCCCCCCTCCCACCCCACTTGCAGGCCGGCTGTGTGAGACTCCTCCCAGTGCCTTGGCAGAGCGAGCACTTGGCCGAAATTTGCCATCAGCTGCATCGAAAAGTAGTCATCTGCCAAAAAGGTAAGCCGCGTCATGGGGGGCACGGCCGGGGGTGGGGCATGGGGGGGAAGGGGGGCGGGGGAGCACTGATGGCATCAATCACATGGGCAATGGAAGTGTTTGTCAATTTAACCCAGAATCGTCAGAATTTTTTTATCCTGGAGAAATCCGACGCGCCATGAAGAAGCTCTTTTTCAAAGCAATCCAGTAGGGACGGGTCAGAAAGTTACAACAAACAAAACAACTATAGGAGTGCGAAGTATAGGAAAGATAAGCAAAATCATTAAAACTAAATTCATTGAAACTTTATTTTTATTTTACCAGGTAAAGCCTACTGTGCAGTTCTTTTTCAAAAGCGATCTGGCCCTCCATCGGTTCAGGATTTGTGTTCCTTGTGTCTCCACGGCGGACGTGAGAGTGGACCGCTGTGACTATGATGAGAGGAGTGAGGAGGCGAGTGAGTGCTGTGTTTGATGACACACTGCTGTCCGCTTTGTATGTGTTGTCCGTGCAACGCATTGTGGGTGTGATTCAATGTTCATGGATACGTTTAGGAATAGTGACGTTGAGTAAAAAGGCCAGCGACAATTTGTTTTGTACAACTGGTGCTGCTTCGTTGATACCAGCGGGTGGCTGGGTGGGTGGCTGACTGTTTGTCTGACTGGCTGGCTGACTGGCTGGCTGGCTGGGTGGCTGGGTGGCTGGCTGGGTGGCTGACTGGCTGGGTGGGTGTGTAGCTGACAGTTTGTCTGACTGGCTGGTTGGCTGGGTGGCTGGGTGGCTGACCGGCTGGCTGGCTGGTTGGCTGACTGGCTGGCTGGCTGGTTGGCTGGGTGGCTGACCGGTTGGCTGGCTGGTTGGCTGACTGGCTGACCGGCTGGCTGGCTGGGTGGCTGACCGGCTGGCTGGCTGGTTGGCTGACTGGCTGGCTGGCTGGGTGTGGGTGGCTTGCTGGGTGGCTGGCTTGGGTGGCTGGCTGGCTGAGCGGATGGCTGGCTGGGTGGCTGACCGGCTGGCTGGCTGGTTGGCTGACTGGCTGGCTGGCTGGGTGTGGGTGGCTTGCTGGGTGGCTGGCTTGGGTGGCTGGCTGGCTGAGCGGATGGCGAGGTGGCTGACTGGCTGAGTGGATGGCTGGCTGGAGTAAGCTAACCAAGCAAACGACCACAATAACAATCCTCAGTGTGACTCAGAGCTGTGCAGTGTCGACAATTGCCATCATCATCATCATCATCGGAGTCATCACCTATTTTTGCACCTCTCACATTCAACGCTCCATGCACACACAACAACGACGAGGGCAATCCGGGATGTTTGTGCAAATTTTAATGGGTAAGTGGGAGGCTTTCTGCCAGCCCAGTGCTGCGTGAGTCGGAGCAAACGCTATCGCCTCCACGCAGCAACGCCACACCGGTTGCGATGGCTCTACACCACAGCAGCTTGCGTCCCGTGATAAACATCAAACCATCGGTTTTTGCGGGGTGCACCTGACAAGACGGTTCGCGTTGCCTGTGACAATTTTTTAATGTCCGCGTTGAAAAATGCAACAAAAACTGCCCCCCAATTTCTTGTGGCCAGAACCTTGGCATTGCTTGCGATCAGAAGTCGCTCAAACTCAATCGAATAACAATCTCCTTCCATCCTGCAACTCCCACCCCCCCTCTCTTTCGTTGAGTGTTCGTGGATGAAGGGGGGAGGATGTGGAGTTAAGCAGAAAGTGGCCTGACACACTCCCCCCCCCCCTTTGATGCGCAACTGCTCGCTCAGATGTGGGCAAAGCAGTTGGCAGGGGGGGGGGGGCTCAAGGGGGGAAGGTAGTTTTTGAATAACCCCCCTTGCCTTCTGGGCACCACGAGAGGATGAATGGGTAAATGACGGTCAAATACGATGCTTATCATTATTAATACTGCGTAGGGCAAATTAACGGAGGTCACAAAAATGCGTGGTGACCAAATTGTGAACGGTGTTATAATGTAGAGGACGCGAGCGCGGTATTTATCGACGAGCTCGGCGCGACCTTCTGACAAGTCGTAGCGAGAAGGGCGCGAGCACGCGGTTTTGCCCCGACACGTGACCACCCTTAGCGCGCCCGGACGCGACGACGCCACGGCTCATCACCTTGCGCTGTGTTTTCATTCCTCTGCTTCCCTTTAATCTCCGCCGTCCTCCTCCTAAAGAATCTCTCCGCTCCGCCGTGACGATTTGAAACGTGCACGAGTAGACCGATCCCCACCGCCCCCCTCCCCAAATTCGTCTTCTTTCGTTGCGTAAACTCTTACCCAGCATGACGCTTGTGGTCCCTTTTCCCCACCTCACACTACGACCATCCCCGCAACCTCCTCCCCACCTGAACCGAACCTGACCCTCAACCCCAAACCACCACCCCCCCATCGTTGCCACCACCGCTGACATCCTCGCCACCGTCGCCACCAATACCACCATCGTCACCACCGCCATCGTCGCCAACACCACGACCATCATCGCCGTCACCACCGCTACCGCTTCAACCGCTGCCACCCCTTGCCACCATCGCCATCAACGCGAACAATCGCCACTACCGCCATCATCGCTTCCGCCACGACCACCGTCGCCACCGCCACCACCACCGCCACCCCCGCCGGCCCCAACCCTTCGGCGGCAACAGCCGTGCGGAGGTTCATCGCTCGGCAGAGGTTGCGGCAGAGGGTGAGCGGTGGCGGCGGCGGCAGCAAGCAGTGGGCGGCCGTGACTCCCACCAAGGATGGCCACGGGGCACCACCGCCGTCGGCGTCGGAGGGCGGCAGCGGCCGGCGGTTTTACCGCAAGCTGAGGGCGATGCACGGCGGAGGAGGCGGCGGAGGTTGCCACCCGCACGAGTGCTCCTGCGGGCTCGATGGCCTCAAGAGCGGCGCCACCAGGCACAAGCTGGCGGCCAGAGACTGGTAAGCGGCGGGCGTGCAGCCGGAGGATGAACCGGTCGGTCGGTCGGTGCAGCTTGGTCGCGTGGGATTTGCGCCGTCGCCGATTGTCCGCGATTCGAGATGCAATCAATTTTTTTGTGCTAAGCCGGACCCCCCCCCCCCCCCCGCGCGCCCCCCAGCCCCCACCCCCCCCCCCTGCCCCCCCAGCCCCCCCAGCACCCCCAGCCCCGCTTAATGATCCGGCCAAATGTGTGTCGTGGCACCCTCCGCCAGCTGACGACGCAGCCAAAACCAATTGAAACGTCCGCGTGTAATAGCTTCCGCGCGCGTTTCCGCTCACGGCCAGGGCGAAGTTCGACGCGTGATTGTTAAGCGAGGGTTCCTCGCCTGTAAGACCGGCAGTTCACCAGCATTGATTCATGCGATGCCCGACTGCTGATGAGACACTGTAATGCCGAAACCAGATTAGTGTCTCCGTGTCCAAAAAAATGTCACGACGTTTTGTTTTTTTGATCACGGGGGAAACAGTCGTTCCGCTCCAGGTTGTGACGGAACTTCTCCTTAAGCGGACGATGAGAAACATAGTTAAATATGTGCTTTAATCACGAGTTAAAAGCAATCAAACAAAAAACTACAACAGGTGAGCGGCGTAAATGTTTTTCCAAATAGTTTCCACCAACAGGAGGGAAACAAAAACAAAGGTCCCCCGTATAGCCTGTGACAGGCTATTGGGGAAAGTGCTGTTAGCGAGCACCTATAAAGGCCGGCACAGCACAAGAGGGGGTGGGTGGCCAGCACCACACCCGACCGCCTTTGTCTCCCGAGTGGCGATGTTTACACACCACGCCAGGTACTCATTTGAGGCTGAGTCGACCTAGGGGAGAGCCAAGACCGGTTCAGATAATCGTCACTCGTGTTGGCCGTGAGCAGGAATCCAACTGGGGTCGCCGGGTTCTTAGCGCAGCGCGCTAACCGCTACAGAATGTCTTTCGACTTGATGGTGATTAAGCGGCTGAAAGGTGATTGATTGATTAGTCTGGGGCCTCCGCGCATAACCGCCCAACGCTCCAAGCCCCGGGGATCATTGACCGGTCGAGATCTACGAGGCCGCACGTCCGCACACAGGCCCAAATGAAGCGGCTCGCGCTCCGTGTTTTCAAAATAGATTCCGCAAACAAGTTGGGCAGCAGGGCACTCCGGGGCACACCAACAACCTGCGCCTGACAACTTTGCATGAGGTCATTTTGGCTTAAAAAAAAAACATACACAATCAATCAACCAACATCGGGACGCTTTTTCCTAACTGAATCGGGTCACGGGGGCAGCGAATCCACCAAGGCCTTCTTCCATCCTGGTCCTGTCCTCCGCCAGCGGCATCGACCGTGGCTCCCGGATCGCCGGGCTCTCCTCAGCCAGGCGGACCGGCCCGCGCTTTTCCAGCACAATCGCGGGCGGCCTCGGGGTCTTTTGCCCGGATGACATCCTTCGAACGTCTCCCCGGGGAAGTTTTTCGGCATTCTTAGCAGATGAGCCCATCCACCGTAGCCGGCTTCGCGCTACGCTGAATAGTGCCGACTGAACGTTGAGTACATCTCTACAAAAATAGAATGCATCTTGGGATTACATCGACAGACATAAAGAGCAACACATGGGTTAGAGCACGTGCACAGGCATGTTCTCGAACAGCACTTGTCCCAGCAGTCTGTACGCCTACACGGGGGATATTCGTCTAGGTGAGATCGAAGAGGGCTTGAAGCTGATTATGCGGTCAGCAACAAGCAGCACTGTCGATGGTGCAACGGATCAGAGTGCGAACGCAGAGGTTAGGAGAGCTTTGGGGAAGGGACGATGGGTAGGGGGAGAGAATGATTGTAAAATTGGCGACTGTATTTTATTGAGTACATATCTACAAAAATAGAATGCATGTAATTTATTTTAACAAGTCAATTGAATGCCATTCAACGGCTGCTCGGGCATGGCCAGCTTTCTGGAAGATGCAAAAACACCGAGGCACTTTGTGCACTTTGTGCAGCAGGGGGTTTAAGGGCAATGCTGGGAACGCATCGTACGCACGTATATGTTGAACGTCATTCGCACTGTTGCAAATCGGAGGTGCGGGGCTGGGACCTTGAACTCCACCTGTCCACTCGAGAATTCTGTTTCATCTCACGACGCAGTACACACGTGGGTTTCGTGTAGCCTCTCAAAGCCACCGTATCTGTAGAGACCGTGGCCGTATTTGTTTTTTTTTTGTAGAGAGAGAGCAGGGGGGAAGAACAAGAGGCAGACAGTCAAAGGCAGAGCGGTGAACAAGAATAAAGTTCTTGAGCGTGGACTTAAACGGGGGGGAGGGGGGGTGCAGGGTATCGACAGCACGGATGGCTGGAGGACGGTAATTCCAGACTGTGGGGGACAGCAGAGGACGATGCCAATCTCGGGTGGCGGCAAACCGGATTCAAACCCAGGTGCTCACGTCCCAGGTTCTCGCCTTGTGAGTGGCGCTCGCGCTCGCTTGCCGTCGATTTGGCCTCTTTGAGCAGGTGGCGGCAGCGGTCGTCTCCCCCGCGAAAGTGGCAGCGGCTTCAGGGTCGGCTACACGCAAGCGACGTCGCGACGCCTTGCAGGGAGCGTCCCTGGTCGCGGAGGATCACGCCGGGAATTCAAACGTTTCCTATAAAAGCAGCGGTGACGTTCTCCGCCGCTGAGACCGCCTAAGAAATCCAAGTGACTGCAGGATTTACGTGTTTTTTTTATTTTTGGCTTCTTCAAAATCGTGCGATGCTGTACATCAACACTCCTATATTATCCAGGTTGTTCTTGTGCACGACTGCCCACGCAACAATAACAAATGATTCGTTATATCGAGTTAGAACATATTCACTGCATCCTCAGCGCATTTATTTGTCAACACACGAGTGCATGTGTAATGAGCGACTTCTGCGACACATCGTGTAGAGGGTACTTCTTCTTTATTTGCTCACACTGGGCACAACACAGGCCAACACTTGTTCTTCTTCACACTGAGCATAACTCGAGGTATTAACACCTCTACTGGTCACACACACAGCCGATCACTCGGCGTGGTCACATTGCCCCCACTCGGCTACGCCGCTGGCTGGCGGCGTGACGATGATGGCGATAGAAACCACGCAGGAGATCTTCCACGTGGCCGGACGACGGAGAGAGATGTCGGCGAGCAGCGACGCAGCCAGGACCCAGGAACCCACACAGGAGCCTCGAGCTCCGAGTCCGCTCTCCCTTATATTCCCCCAGCAGAGGTCGAAAACGGGTTTTGATTCCTTACCCGTACCCGTACCAGGCCGCACCAGAGTCGCAAACGGGTACCCGTACCCGTACCCGGCCGTATCCGTACCCTACCCGTACCCGCGGCCGGATACGGGTAGAGTACAGGTATCGGGTACCTGATTGCGACCTCTGGGATGAAGCCATGTTGCAGGCGCGGGTGGGTTGATTCTAGGAACTTGAATTGTGAGAAGAGACAAGACGTTGGGAAATGAGTGACAAACAGTTACTCACCAGTGACTCACGGCCTACCCGTACGCGGCCGCACCAGGGTCGCAAACGGGTACCCGTATCCGGCCGGGTACGGGTAGCCGGGTATCGGGTAGGGTACGGGTATCGGGTACCCGGTTGCGACCTCTGCCCCCCAGGCGTGGCTATGCCCCGCATTCGGCCACGCCCTCTCGTGGAAACTTCGAGCAGGTTCCCGGAGTGTCTCGGCTAGCCCCGCCTGTTACCTTTGCCCCAGATACACCTCCTTCTCTGATTGGTTGTTACTTCTGTGCCCGTACCCGTGAATCCCTTCCCAGGCCAGCAGGTGTCACCCTGTCATTACACGTGTAGGGTTTCTCGTTAAGGAGCAGAAACCATCATGCAAACTCCGGTCATCTTCACAGCAGCGGCTTTTGGTTCACCATCAGACAAAGACTGTTGTCACCGCATCATCGCGCGCTTTCCGACGTGCTTCTGCGGCCATCTGGAACGCTCTTCTTTCCAATATTAGGAAGTCACTGGAGCTGTGCACTTTTAATTATAGATTGAAAACTCACTTCTTTGTCCTTCCCCCACACCTCCAATTAGCACGGATGGCAGTGTAAAGTGCGAAATAAGCTCCACATACATACATACAAAGACTCACACAGAGACCCATAGTTTGTTGTTCTTCCCCCGCACCTCCGATTAGCACGGTTGGCTACGTACGGTGCGAAAGAAGCTCCACATACATACGTACGTACGACACATTCCAAGCATTGCCCTTCAACCCCCTGTGGCACAATGCACAAGCGTCTCCGTGTTTTACATATGCCAGAAAGCCTGACCAATGCCAAAGCAATGCGTGAATACCATTCAATCGACGTGCGGAACATATAAGGGGCGTGATGCTCGCGGCTATGCTTCAGTTACGAGTGGACACTCACGCGTGAAACACCATGCAGGCCTTTCCGCTAGCAGTGACGTGAGCAATAAATTGCAGACGTCTTCGGAATCCATGAATTGTGGAAAATTTGGGTCACGCTTCGAATCAGGAATATACAAATATATTTTTAGACTCTGGTGCATGTAGTGAATCTTACGGGCAGCAGGGGACACATGTGCCCATTACATACAGGCAATATGAATTGAAAAGCATCGAGTCGCAAACGTATTCGATGCGAGTATTCAATGCGAGCTTAAGAAGTGCATTTAACGAGATGTCACGAAACAGTTCGTCTGCGGGACCTAGACGGACGGTTGCATCAGAAGAGCCTGAGACATGGCTTCGCTAGGCCTTCATCCAGCAGTGGGTAGATCATGATTGATGATGATGATGTGTATTTAAAGTAAGGAGCAAGAACATGTAAATGTTTCACAAGCAAGCGCCGCTGCATTCGTGGATTTCAAATGGGTTTCCATTTTGAGCAGCTAATGGATTTTCCTGTGCATTGGCGTGCGCACGTGCGTTGTGTGTGTGCGCGTGCGTCCATGCGTGCGTGTGTCTGGGGCGGAGCGGTGGCGCAGCGGTTAGCGAACTGCGCTGAAAGCCAGACGAGAGATGAGTTTGTTTACCGGCCACGGCGAACATCGGTGGCAAATATCTGAATCGGTCCTGGGCCTTCCCCCGCCGCTAGGTCAGCTCAGCGTTAAATGACCACCCGGTGAAATGTGCAGCACGCCAGTGCTGGAGAGATGAAGGCGACCGGGCGTGGTACTGGCCACACCATTGTCTTGTCTTGATGGGTGCTCGCTAGCAGCGCTCGTCCCAGCGGCCCCGTATGCCTACAGGGGCGATCTTTGTCTGCGTAACCTGGGTGAAAGGGCGATATTTTTTGTGACAGTCAGAGAGAGCTGCAGTTTGTCAGAACGACACGGACACAATGAGGGGGACCTCCCAATCAGCCGCTGCAGTCCGTGCGGACGGCAATAAAGAACAAATTAAATGTGACAAATACCCTTGGAATTGCATTCATAGAGAGAGAGAGGAGCACATGGACTAACGCACGCAGGTTAACGACACCGTTCGGACCGTGGGCTTGGGCCGGAGGCGTCACGCGGCCAGGGGGGATGACGACCGATGGTCAAAGACGAGGCACGGAGTGGCAGCCCAGGGATGGAACGCGTCTGAGAGGACGTCCATCCGACGAGACGGAGCGATGAGACCAGCGGCGGCGCTGGAGATCTATGACAAAGAGCTTCACAGCTCTTCGGATTCCTCCAGTATAAATACATATTCTGATTCTGATCAATATTCTGAAATGAGTATTTCGCACCATCCTGTGAGAGATGGGGACAGATTGGGGAGGCCTTCAGCCAGCAGTGTATTGGCCATGGCTGATGATGATGATGATAATGAATTAAAATATTTACCAAAACATAATTCGGTCTTCTCTGAACCTTCAGGTGCTCTTCTCACACAACCCGCGGGGAATTTGAGCGCAATACAAATACAGCGCATAATACTTAACCAATTATCTTGTGAAATTGCCATTGGCTATTCAGGGGCTGCTGGACGCTTCACAATGCGTCAGGGAGGCGATTCTGACGTGAGCGGTTTCCGCCTGAAAGCGCAGGTCTGACCTTTGTCGCATGCCGCCTTCGCTGGCACGTCGCCGTTACGCGGCCGCGGTCACGTTTTTTTTTTGTTGGACGCCTCCGGGGGTCACTTTTCGTGGCGCGCTCCAAAAAATACAAAAATTGTAATAAAATAAGAAATGAAAAAAAAATTGTATTTTAAAAAAATTATCATGAATTAGCGTCGTGAATTGTCGCCACCCCCCCACCCCCCTCCCCCCGCCGCATTTTAACGAACGCAATCACTTGGCAGATCCTCACGGGTGCTCGCCGTAATTTGCCGTGGCGTCGGCGGCGCGCTGGCCCGCACCGTGGCCCGCGATCGAGGGGCCTGAAAAGGCCCCCATGCGCGACTCGACCACGCGGGCCCCCCCCCCACCCCCACCCCACTAGAATGCGTCGCTCAGCTGCTCTCTCGTGCATTTTCCTTTCCGGAGAAAGAACGAGGGCAGCGACAGGGAAGGGATTGGTGGGTGGGGGCTGGGGGGCTACGGGGTGGGGGCGCGATGATGCGGGGAAACGACGAGGCGGCAGTGATGAGCTGGGGGGCACAATCCCCGCAATTTCTTCCACGCGAGCGCTTTACCCTTCGCACGCTATGCTCTGCCTCGATTTCATTTTGTTCCCTCCCTCCCTATCCCTCTCTTCCTCCTCTCTGCCGGTGCCTCGCTGACCGCCGTCGCCACCGACACTCCCCACCGTCACCATCGCCACGACGACTCCTCGACACGATCCTCCCGCAGCCGGGTCGCGGCGGCAACGGCGGCGGCGACGGTGCCGGAGAAGGGCCTCTGCTCGTGCGACCATCGCCGAGTCCTGGCGCTGCCCTTCTCTTTCCCGCCCTTCGGATTCGCCGCCGCCTCCTCCGCCGTCCCTTCTCCCGCCGCGGGCGCTCGGCCCCCGGGACGGACGCGCGCGGCGGCGCTCGCCGTTTCCCCGCGGCCGTCGCGCGCGTACCCGCAGATGTTCCTGCCGCACCCCTGCGGTCCCCCCGCGGGGTCCAAATCCGCGGCGGCGGCGGCGGCGGCGATGACGGCGGCGGCGTTGGAGCACAGGCAGCGGCCGCGCCGCTGCTGCAGTACGGGGCCCGCGCTGTGCTACGAGATCGGCTCGCCCGACGGCACCGATGGCGGCACGGGAAGAGCAGGTCGGTGGCGGCGCCGCGGGCGGCACCGGGGGGCACGGGACGGGGCGACACGGGCAGAACAGGGCGATAGCCAACGGGGCGGAATTCGTCGCGCCGCTCGCGCCGATGAGAGTCTTCGCCGAGCCGTGCCGCTGTCGGCGTGCGCCGTGCATGTCGACGGTGGCGACGCTAATTGTCGTCGCTTTTACTCCCCGTTTTTTAAAGGCGGCCGATGAACAAATCGCCCGCAACGCGCCCCGATTCTGTCAGATCTTGGAAGCCAAGCGGGTGTGGGATAGTGCTCGGACGAGCGACCGCCGTGAACAAACAGGTTGCCACAAGGGGCCTTCACACAGCAGTGGATTAACAAATGGCCTGTAAATTATGGAGGAAGCCACCTCTGTGCCTCTCGGTCATGGAGGGTTTATTTGGCCATTCTTCACCGCGCTCGCCACTGCGGGTCGGTGAAGGTGGGGTGGTGGCCCATGACTGGTTCATATATTAATTCGCCGTTGATTTGAGCCAAGGTTAGGAATCAAACTCGGGTGGCCGGGTTCAGAGAAAAGTGTGCAAATCACTCAGCCTCTGCTCCAGCGATTGGTAATATAAAAATGGTACATTTTATATGCTAACATATAGCAAAAAAATAGAATTTTATATAACTGGACATGTATTTATGAACAAAATATATAGATAGATAGATCGTTTATTGTCATTGTCACCAGTACAACGAAATTTAAAATGCTCACCAGTCAGGGCATCATTCATAAATTTAAATTAAATAAAACAAGGAAATAAAAATTAAATTAAATGAAAGATAATCAATTTATACTATATATAAAAACAGCCCAAGTATACCCACATACCCACATAAGGTTACATTTTGTCATTGCACATCTCTATTTCACAATCAATTGTAAACACTATTACTTAATAATTAATTAGCATTATTGAGTGTGGTGATCGCTGTAGGATAAAAGCTCTGTTTGAATCTGTTTGTCCTTGTTTTGACTGATCTGAATCGTCTGCCTGATGGCAACAGCTCAAACAGTGAGTGTCCAGGGTGAGAAGAGTCCTTTATAATATTCTGTGCTTTTTTGATGCAACGTGAACTGTGTAGTTCTTCCAGTGTGGGGAGATGGCAGCCGGCGATCTTTTGGGCTGTGTTGATGACCCTCTGGAGCGATTTCCTCTGAGCCACTGTGCAGCTGGTGTACCATACACAGATGCAGTATGAATGCTCTCTAACCAGCCAGGGAGCTCAGCAATTAGAAGGTAGCGAGTTAAAATCCTGATTTGGGGTCTACTGTGCCCATCATCCCTCTGGGGTCGGCAAAAACAGGTACCACTTTGTGTGGGAAGTCAACAGTGGTTGCTCTTTGGATCGACTCACCACTGTCATAGGAATGTAGAATTTCCACCAATGCCTCAATGCTCGTTCAAGCAAGGACATCTATTTCACTCTGACTTAAGTAACATAATTGTTGCACTTTGCACGAAAAGTCGCTCATGAGATATTACATATGTATTATATTATCGATCGCATGTTTCTTTATTTCTTTAATCGTACGGCGTTATTGATGAACGTGTTGAGTTGTGCGGTTGAACAACTCCACCGTACAGCACGGGAATCCCAATATTTATTTATACTGCAGGAGGAATCCGATGAGCTATGAAGCTCTTTGTCACAGATGTCCATTTGGGACACGGGGACAGAACATCACGACAACAAGCGATACAAAATAACACGATAGTAGTGCAGAGCACAAGAAAGGTAAACGAATCACCAAAAAAACATACAAATAAATTTGTGATCGCGCGGCCGCACATTTTTCCTGCCTGGAATCAAACGGGACGTGACATCCACGGGAGCCCGAGCAAGAGCCATTTCCAACACAGCAAATGCGGTATTGGGGGGGGAGAGTGAAAATAAACCCCACTGCGTAATTGGCAAACTGCCTCACCGCTTGGGGCGTTTCACCCATTTCTAACAAGCGCCGCACGTTACAAAACGTTAACTTAACCCCCCCCTCCCCGTTCCGCGGGCAAATCGACGCGATCGTAAGACGCCCAACGGGATGTACCGCTCTCCTCCGTCTCTGCTCGTGGAGAATCTTCGGGAATTCCTCACAATGATTCACCCCCCCCCCCCCCATAGCCTTTGCAAACTGTCGGGGCAAGTGCTGATAAGGAACACCCACAAGGGCCGGTACGGCACACATGGAGATGGGTGGCCAACCACCTTTGCCTCCCCAGTGGCGATATATTTATACACTGCACCAGGTGCACATTTTTTTAAGTCGACCGAGGGGAGGCCCAGGACCCGTTCAGATAATCGTCGCTGGTGTTGGTGGCCGTGAGCAGGAATCGAACACGGGTCGCCGGGTTCATACCGCGGCGTGCTAACCGCTATATGAACAGTTGCCCGTTGGATAGACTCTCCACAACCGTAGGACTGTCAATTTACACAACTGGCTTGGGCTGTAAATGGGGGATGATAACCAATGGCTCGGTGATCATTGAACCAAAGAAAACACTGTGACAGTTTTGTTTTCGTTCTTCTAAATTACATTGGCGTCATTGCCTTAGCCACCCCCTCCTGCCCTCAACCTCCCCCACTCTTCCGCCCCCTGGCCCCCTCCCACCGCGCTACCCACAGGTGATCAGAAGCCGCGTGCCGACGACGACGATTACATCACGAAGAGGAGGATCCCTCCGCCGAAGCCCAAGCGTAACCCCAGCACCCGGCTCAGCGGCCTGTACGGCGCGAGGAGCGCCGCGTTGGCGCTGCCGTCGCGCCCGGCCTCCACGCCCGTCATCCTTGAGCGCTCCTGGGCGCGGCCGGGCCACACGGCGCTCAAGGACCACCACCCGCCGCCGTGACGACGACGACGATGACGAAGACGACGACGGAGAGCCGGTCTACATCGAGATGGTCGGCGAATTCGGCAGAGATGCCGAGCAGCAGGAGGAGGAGGACACGGCCACCGCAGCTGCCACCGCCGCCCCTGCCACCGTCGGCACTCCGGCGTCGCGGCCCGAGCAGGTGGAGTCGGAATACGAGGAGATGAAGTACTACCCGGTTTGCTTCTCCACGCTGCGAGAGCCTGCCGACCCGGGCAAGCGCGGCGCATTTGGCCTGCCCTGCTACCGGAGGCCGCAGCCCCACGGCCACGCCGATGCGACTAAGGGCTCGGAGGGCAGCGGTGGCGACGGGATGCGGTCGGGGCTCCGCGACGAGCTGGCCAACCGGATCCCGCCGCCCTTCCCCGAGCTGCAGCCACACAGGCCCCCTCTGCTGTCGCTGCCGCCAGAACCGGCTTCGGCGCCGTCGGCGGCCGGCGCCGCGGCGTGCCCCTCGGCCTCCGCGTTCGCTGACGTGGCCGATGCCAAGCAGGGTGGCGCGCCGGGCGCCAGCGCCGGTTACGCGAGGCCCCCTCCGGGCCCGTCTAAGGAGCTCGAGGCGCCGGGGAAGGAGTTTAAGGACGCGGAGAGGGAGGTCTGCGCCCCGCTGAGCAGGGGGGCCCTGAGCGGCGCCGAGCGGCCGTGCCCGGCTCCCGCGCAGCCGCCACTCCTGCTGCCGCCGCCGCCGTCCTCTAAACTGTCGTGCAAGCCGGGCCACGCTGGCCTGTGCCTTCCGGGACACGGCCAGGCGCCCAAGTCGTCGGCGTCCGAGATTTCTGATACGACGAGCCCCAAGATGCCTCTGGGCCACCACCGTCACCCAAAGTCCCACTCCTACACCGCGCCGGCCGCGGCAGCCACGGCGGCGGTGACGCACGCGGGGGGCTACGGCGCTCAGGCTCAGGTGTCCTCGCAGATGAAGGCAACGGCGGCGGAGGCCAAGGCCTACGATCCAAAGGCGGCCTGCCCGCGCGTCCACCGGCCCCAGGAGGTCACGGGGTTTCATGCTCCGCACGTTCCCAAGGCCCAGTCCCTAAAGAGCTGCCAGGTCAAGGCCCAGACCTTCCCGCAGCCGCACGGGGCCTACAAGCCAGCCTCCGGCCAGGCCAAGCTCCAGGACTACGCACGGGCCAGACCTCCAGCCTACTCACAGGCCCACCAGCCCCCAAACTATGCACAGGCCACGTCCGAGATTTACACGCTGGCTCAGTCGCTGGCCTTCTGCAGGGTGCAGTCGCAGAGCTGCACAAAGTTCCAGTCGATGGCCCCGCAGGCGAATAGCCACCGGCCTTGCGTGCAAACACAGTTCAGCGTGCCGCCGGCCGCCAAGGCACAGCCGGGCTCTTCGCAGCAGCCCAACCACCACCGCTACTTCTGCCAGGAGACGCACATCACCACCTACTCGCGCGGCACGCCGCACGCCACTGGCGGCTCCAAGAGCCACACCGTGCCGCCGCACGCCAAACTCGGCTCTGCCGCGTGGACGTCCGCGCAGGCGGCCGGGAATCCCAGGGCCGCTCAAGCCGAGGCCCAGGCTCGGACGCGAGCTCCGGCCACCGCCACCGCCGGCGTCGGCGCAGCTGCCGGCACAGGCGACGGCGAATCTGGGCACAACCAGCAGGGCAGCTGCGTGCGGGCGCAGCACACACAGACGTACCCGCAGAGCAGGGCCCACGGCGACGCGCGTTTCGGGTACCGCCAGCAGCACCACTCGGCGGTGGCGGCGGCGGCGGGCGGCAGGCCTCTGACGAGCCCACTCGACGACCTGGCCTTCGTGCTCGTTACGGGCAGGCCTGCGCTCAGGTCGTCACCAGCCGGCAAGCAGCTTAACGGTGAGCAGCCTTTGTTTGCTGTCGTCGTTGTTGTTGTTTTCTTGTTGTCATTGTCGTCGTTGTCGTCGTTGTTGTCATTGTTGCTCTTCTTGTTGTAATTGTCGCCATTTTCGTTGTCGTCGTTGTTGTTGCTATTCTTGTTGTTAATGTTGTCGTCATCATTGTCGTCGTTGTTGTTGCTATTCTTGTTGTTAATGTCGTCATCATTGTCGTCGTTGTTGTTGATGTTGTTGCTATTCTTGTTGTCATTGTCGTCGTCATCATTGTCGTCGTTGTTGTTGCTATTCTTGTTGTTATTGTCGTTGTTGTTGTTGTTGCTATTCTTGTTGTTAATATCGTCGTCATCATTGTCGTCGTTGTTGATGTTGTTGCTATTCTTGTTGTCATTGTCGTCGTCATCATTGTGGTCGTTGTTGTTGCTATTCTTGTTGTTATTGTCGTCGTTGTTGTTGTTGCTATTCTTGTTGTTATTGTCATCGTCATCGTTGTTGTCGTTGTTGTCATTGTTGTTGCTAATCTTGTTGTTATTGTCGTCGTCATCATTGTCCTTGTCGTCATCATTGTTGTTGTTGTTATTCTTTTTGTCATTATCATCGTTGTCGTTGTTGTTGTTATTCTTGCTGTCATTGTCGTCGTCATCGTCGTCGTCGTTGTTGTTGTTGCTATTCTTGTTGTCATTGTCGTCGTCATTGTTGTCGTAATCATTGTTGTTGTTGTCGTTGCTGTTGCTATTCTTGTCATTGTCGTCGTCATCGTTGTTGTTGCGAGTGCGTGCTTCCTGCTTCTTCGACAAAATTCTGGTGTTCGTCTTTCTTGACTGGTGACAACCGCCAACTTTACACAAAAACACATCGTATTCAAAGCTTTGTTGCTGAACTTACTTTTTTTTCTGACGGTGTTCCGAGTCCATGCCTGGTGGGATTGTTTTTGTTACATTGTAAGCTCTGGTTGTTGTCCCTGTTGTTTGTTAAATGTGTCGGAGCCTATAGAGTGTTTTTTTTCTGTTTCTCATGATTTCTGAGCGCATGACCAAAGGTCCGAAGCTCCTGATCACTTTCTCATGAAGAAACCCAGGAACCGATACAATGAGAAAGATCCCCCGTGTAACCTTAAGTCTGTTGAGGGCAAGTGCTGTTAGCGAGCACCTATGAAGGCCGGAACGCCACACGAGGAGGTGGGTGGCCAGCACCACGCTCGGCACCACCTTTGTCCCCCTAGTGGCGATGTTTATACACTGCACCAGATACTCTGTAGAGGCCTAGTCGGCCTAAGGGAGGCCCAGGACTGGTCCAGATATTCGCCGCTTGTGTTGGTGGTTGCGAGTGGCAATCGAGCTCAGGTCGCTGGGTTCATAGCGCAGAGCACTGACCACTACAGAAACAGTTGTTCTGCGGTCCATAATAGAGGTGTTTTTGGGTTAGTTCACGAAAAATATAAAAACGTGTCCACCCAACACCGCCAACTAGTAAGGGTTGTCACGTAAACAGAACATGCCAATTCGTCACTAGTACAGCACACCCGTGTGTTGGAGAGCCAAGCCACAACATTTACAATCTGAGTACGACGTTTCACCAGTAATTACAACCAGCTTCATCAGGCGACAGCCAGATTTGTGGAGAAGTCTAACTGTTTCGTTGTAGAGGCGTAGATGTGTTAACCAACCTTCTGCGCTCTTGCACAATGTGGGGGGGGGGGGGGGGTATTACTGAGGCAAAGTAGATTATGCATGTGCATTGTCCGTTTATCTATTTCATTACTTATATTGTCCACAACGCTAATTGTGTTTTGTTTGTTGTATATTATTGCATCAAACTAGGACCCCGCATCTCAAAGAGAGGATTCCTTGGCTATAAAGGTCTGGCCGTTCACCAACAATGATTCAAACAAGCCTCACTCTATTCTACTTTGTATTTAGGAAGTGCCTTTCACCAAGGCGCTTAACAATGTTCGCTGACTATAGCGCAACATGGCAAGATAAGGGATGGGGATCGGGTAGTGACTAGGGCAGAGGGAGCGAGGTGGAGGCATCAAGGGCGTTAGGTGGTGCTGGTAGGGGTGGCGGAAGAGGAAGGGATACGGCGAGGTAGAGAAGAGAGATAGGATTACCTGAGGGCAATGCAAGAATAGGAAAGTGAGGGGGGTGGGTGGAGTCGGATGTGGAGTTGGAGTTGGTTCCAGTGTAAGGGGGCAAGTGGAGAGAAGGAGTGAAAGCGAGACTGGGCGAAGGGTGGAGGAGGGACAGCAAGAAGATATGCAGCCTGTGACCGGAGCAAGGCATGATGGGACACATAAGGAAATTAGAGAAGGCAGGTAAGGGGAAGGGGGGGGAGGCAGTCCATGCAAAGCTTTGAAAGCTAAGGCGAGTCATTTAAAAGAGGTAGCGGTGATAGATAGGAAGGCGGTGAAGTTGTTGAAGGAGTAGGGAGCAATGGGTGGTGACGGGGGGAGGTTTAAGACGGCGGGGTGCGAGTTTTGAATTTGTTGTCGAGGGGCGAGGGCGTTGGCAGGGAGACCGACCAGGTGCGAGTTGCAATAATCCAGACGAGTGAAGACTCAGGGGAGTGCACAAGAAGTTTGGCGGCGGTGATGGTGACGAGAAGATGATGCGAGTGGCGTTGGCGATGCGGGACGTGAAAAGAAATGAGGAATCAAGAGGTGACGCCAAGAATTTGGACGGAAGCGATCCGAGTTGGACTGAGCGGAGGGAAAGATATGGAGGGGTTAGGAGGAGGAGGAAGAGAGCGGGAGAGCGGGAAAAGTAGAGCCACGGTGATTTGGAAGGGTTAAGGGAGAATAAATGTTGTGTCATCCATGCTTGGATGGCCATTAGGCAGGATGAGATGCGGTCGCAAAGGTCGGGGGTAAGAGCCTTGAAGGAAAAGACGATTTGAGTGTCGTCGGCAAATGGGTGATACGAGAGATTGAAAAAAATTAACCCGTAAAAACAAAGTTTTTCACTATAAATCCTTTATATGCGTGGCGGCTAGAGTCCTCTCGTCCTCTGGCTTGAGATGGCTGCCACCTATGGGTCAGATGATTGCCTGCCACCATTAAGCAATTGGTAATTAAATATACTTTTTTTTCCTAAAAAGTGTAACATTTTGGAAAAAAAATTTCACGAAAATTAATTGTCACGCACAACGAGTCTGTGTGCAAAATGTCAGCTCGATCGGATCACGGGAAGTGGGTTATAAAACGACCGAAAAATTTGCACGGTCGTAAGCGCGCAAGCAAGCAAGCGCGCAAGTGAACTTAATATAAAGAATTTAAAATGAAAGGACAGGCTCGAGGGGGGGGGGACACACGTCTAGAGGGAGAACAGATGAGGACTCAGCGCAGAACCACCCTGGGGGGGGGGCAACCGTAACGGGGGAGAGGAAGAGCCACGGTTCATGGAGACAGTGGATGAAACGAGAAGTGAGTTAAGAGCGGCGCTGCATAGCAAGGCACCGAATGCCGAAACCGGGCCATGGTTTGCTCGTGCTTGATCAACCCCGCTGAAGTGATGCACTCCCAAAAGGCTGTGGGGGCCCAGTGGGTCGCGTGAAGAAAATCACGTTCATTTTTGCATGCGCTGAGACGGTTATATAAGGGAGACGAGCTGTGTGTAATGCACCTTGTGCCGAGCGACTTACCTATCCACCTCCTTACCAACCCACCCAATATACCAATCTATACCCACTTGTCTATTTATCACAACACCTGCCCATCTCCCCACTGATCTACCTGTGCAACACAAAGACCCCCCCCCCCCCCCCCTGTATAGCCTGTAACAGACTGTAAGGGCAAGTGCTGTTAGCGAGCACCTATGAAGGCCGGCACGGCACACGAGGGGGTGGGTGGCCAACACCACGCCCGGCCGCCTTTGTCTCCCTAGTGGTGATGTTTACACATCGCACCAGGTACTCATTTGAGGCTGAGTCGACCTAGGGGAGGCCCAGGACCTGTTCAGATAATCGTCACAGACACGCACAGATAGACAAAGACACACAGACACACACAGACAGACAAACACACTGACACACACGTACGTAACATAGGGGCCGTCCATAAATGACGTCACGCACCTGGGGGGGGGGGGGTCAGACATTTGTGACGATGTGTGACGAGGGAGGGGGGTTTGAGAAATATGACGTCACATAAAAATGCGCAACTTTAAATAAATATAGACAACACGTTCTACTTAATTAAATATACTTTTTTTTATAATGTTTTCTCCTACAACATCAGCGCCACCTTGAATACGTGACGCCGTGTGACGAGAGGGGGGGGGGGGGTCAAAAACCGTCCAAAATCGCGTGACGTCATATATGGACGGCCCCATACACACACAGTGACACATAAAGAAACACACAGACACACACACAGGTACACACAGACACACACACAGGTACACACAGACACATGCACAGGTACACACAGACACACACAGGTACACAGACACACACACAGGTACACACAGACACACACAGACGTGCACACACAAACCAACCGCTGCACTGCTGCTCCCCACAGCTACCTGTGCACTCACCTAGCAGCCCCTCCCCCCACCACCACCGCCAAACCTCTCACGGACATTTCTTGGTGTATTTAAACAAATAAAAAGTCATTTCAACCATGAACCGTAGCCACTTGCGGTACCGTCATTTAAGCACTTAATTAAGCATCGCAAAATAAGCTGCCCTATGAGTTTAAAACGACGCGTAAACAACACGACAGCTTCAACCGAACCCGCGTCGCCGACTGTGCTGATGCCCCCCCCCCCCCCACAAAGACAAAGATCCCCCGTATAGCCTCGACAGACTGTTGGGGCAAGTGCTGTTTGAGAGCACCTATGAAGGCCGGCACGGCACACGTGGGGACGGGTGGCCAACAGCGGTGGCGATGTTTACACACCGAGTTGAACCTCGGGGGGAGGTCCATGAGCGGTGGAGATAACCCTTGCCGCTGTTGGAGGCTGCGAGCGGGAATCGAACTCGGGTGGCGCTAACAGCTCTCCC